CAGCACAGCCCTTGACATAGTCTCTGACCTAGAATGATCCTTTCTTCATCATATAAATAACTGCAAGACCTATTTCAACAATTATGGTATTGCCTATACCTGTTTCTTAATAGTCATCTGCCTACAATCTTATGTGTTTGGTTTTTTTAATCTCCCTCCTTCCCCTTTTTAATAACTGCTACTTTATCCTGGTTTTTTCAGCTGCCTCATAACCCGACCAAATCATGTCAAATCCAGTGTCTTTTATATAAGAGAGGCCATATCGAGACAAAATAGTTTGAGGCAGTCAAATATTGTGCACATCTAGAAACAAGTTTAGCATATTCTTCTTCCTTATATGTACGTTTCATCTCTTAGAAACAACAGTTCCCTAAAGGAGAATTAATGGAGATACTGTCTGACACTGAAATAAAGTCCCAAGAGACTAGCATCTGGCTGACTATAACTCCTAGGTAGCCTAAAATATTCTTTCTATATCTTTCTCTCTTGATTCTTCTTTGGTAGTTTCTGGACTTATCATATACAACTGCTCATATCATGTAGACAGTTTTTATGTAATAGAAAATTCCTACGTAAAATGATACAATAACATTTTCAGAAAATTGTAAAAGGATGGATATGTAGAATATATTGTGGATGTGGGGATAAAAATTCACCTAAGGTCAGTCCTGGCCTTTTTCTGTTTCTTTTTGTTTGTTTTTTATTTTATGTTAAAATTTTAGTTTCATAGTCCAGACTAAACTTCTGTCATTAAATCTCAACATTTTATTTCTATATGTGCTAAACAACTAGTGCTCAACTAAAACAGCTTCAAGAAAGGTCTTTCACTTTGATATGAAGATGCCAAGAGATGGAGAATCCACCAGCTGGCTTAAAAGTTTTTCCTCTTGCATAATCACTTTGTTGTTAAGTTTGTCATTTATTCCTTATTGTTCAACTTCAGCTTCCAGCCACTTACTCTTTTTATGCTTTTCTCATTGTCCCAGAGTCATTTAATAATGAATACTTTCCCCCCATAAATGAATTTATACACTATAGTCAAGTCACCTCAGTCTCTTTTAGATAAACTAAACATTAAGCTATTTAAATACTGCACCATACTCCAGCTATTCAGTCATCTTTGTGACTTTTTTGGCTTGCTTGTCCTCTGTGACTAGTAAACCAAGAGTCACTGCTTACCAGAATACAGTTCATTGTTCTGTTGGCATCTCCTCCTCCTTTTCTCCACCTCCTATCTCAGCTCTTGTTTTCTGTGGTTACATTTGTGTTTATGGTCTGTATATGAGGAAATAACTTTCAGCGAATATTCCACACAAGTTCCTCATGTTAGCGCTGGCCTCATACAGACCTTCAGTTTCTCAGAAGAAATCACAAGTGTACAAATGTTTAGGATTTTTCTCCCAGAGTAAAAATGGCTGCTCCAGGAGAAAAATAACTTGGGAACAACCCGGATTAAATCACTCCTGGGAGAATTTGTCCTGAGAGCGCAAATATCTGTACACAGTACAGTCCTTCAGCATCTCAGGGTGCTTTGCTCCACCTCCCTTCTCCCCTCCCAGGAGACAGCATATTACTTGCTGGACCCTGCAGTCCAGCTAAGGAGGGAGAAGAACACACATCCTTAGCAATCCCACATTGTGCTGCAGAGAGGCACAAGATGACAAATTAGCAGTCTGGGTCACCCCATTAGGGCTGTTATGTACACTGCTGCCATTCTGTCCCTAGGCAGACTGAGGGAGCATGTAGAGCACACTGGGCTGCATGGTGTCAGCACTGCAAACTCTCTTCTTTTTAGGGCTCAGCATGTGAATGTCTGTTCAGGCATCTCCACGTAAGTTTTTCTACCAGGAGAACAAACTTGGAAGAATTCTCCCGAATCATTTGAACATGTGTGCGCAACCATTATTATTCCACACCATGATTTTTTTTTTTGTCAACTTTAGAATTGGATTTAGCTAAACTACAAAAAGGCATGCTTAGTGTAGAACAAGAGTATCTACACAGAGAGAGTTAATTCAGAAGAAGTTTTGCATTCTTAAGTCTCACATTAGCTTTTTTTTTTTTAGCTGTAGCTTCCCCACAGAAGCCCCTTAGTTCAGCTAGCTGTGTGCTGTAATGGATTTTCCTATTCTTCCCCTATCTTCCTGGCTGATGTAGAGCTGTTAGTTGCTTTGGATTTTTCTCTGCACATTGAGCCTCCCACTGAAACCAATTTAATGCAAGGATAGCCATGATCTTTTGAAATCTAGCCTAAAATACACTACTTCTTTGGGCCATCTTTAGCCCTTAACCTGATGTCGGGCTTCTCTAGGTTGTTGTGTTCCTAACTTGCTTTATTATTCCCCGCATGTTATATTAGTAAAGATCAATATAGGTGTTTTGCCAAAGGCTATAAATTCCTTTGTAATGCTTTCCAAAAATAAATAGTTGTGGAAATTGGTCAGTATGATGGAGGCGATATCTTTTATTAGACCAACTAGAATAGTTGCAAAAACAATTCTCTGTTTGCAAGCTTTTGGGTGCACACACCCTTCCTCAGGGAAAGGAGAATGCAAAGATTGTAAAATTTTTCCCAGGTAGAAATGAAACGTTATCCTGCACAAGAGAGCTGGAGGATGGTATAAATTCTCCTGGGTGGAAAAGTTCATTTTATGCAAATTAGGCTCAGATAAAAGTTGGAGTAGTTTATTTACCTCAGAGGTGTCTGGTGGTAAGCAGGATGTTGAATTTTGCATCTTTCTTGTTTAAGATGTTTCATATTTTACTAGAGCAGTATTATGGTGACCAACAGAGCTGCTTCCTCTTTTGAATTCTGTTATGCCTCCGTTAGTGACACTGCCATTAAAGACCTCATACATTTCTAGGAGGAAGAGTTGGATTGCATTCTTGATCCAGTTTCAGATTTTTATTGCTGTGATTTGAAAGGTGAGCTGTAAAAGATGAGGCTTCACCTTTGGATACCAGGTTGAATCTGTGAGGCTGGCTCTTATATTGCAAATCTCTTTGTTTATAAACAGGACAAATTTACTCGGAAGCATTTGAAGACAATAAAAATAGAACCTTACAATATTCTTTTTACAGCATCACTTTTCATACTGAAATATTGATCTATTTCATAGCTTACATATGAAGATCTGCAGAAGTGTTTAGTAATATTGTATGCAACAGTAAGATCCTTTGGTCAGGCAATTGGTGCAAAATCCAGATTGGCCCCGTAGGCATTTCTGCTTATCCACAGTGATGCCTACGAACTAGATGCCACCTAGTCAGTGGCTAGACTGTTGTCTAGTGCTTAGGCTAACAGTTCAGATGGTGAAGGGTTCCTGAATGAATTCACTTAATTTTCTGGGACAGTATCAATTCTGTGACATTCTCTCTTGTCTGGGCGCGGCCTAAGAGGTGACAATTTGCCCTAAAGAAAATTGCTTAACATGCTTTTGTATTTTTGTCTTTGTCAGAGGCTAAATAAGAATCATTATCTAGCTAATGCTGTACTTTGGTTAGAGCACTCTGCAGTTGTGATGCTTTAAGAATGTTTACACTGTAGATGCACAGAGATGAAAAGGATTAAATACTAAATACAGTAAAAGTGACATATTTTCTAATGACTCTTTTGCTAAGACATTTTTTTCAAGGGATCTTCCATTAATCACTGAACCACGCAAGTTTTGCCTTGATAGTTAGACCAATGTGCTCTTTGGACACGCTTTTGAATTGGAGCCTTGTATTATATTGCCACAAACTGCAGATTATGTGATACTACCAACATCCTGCTGACTTGCTAGAAACATTATTTTAGCACTTTATGAAATTATTTAGGAGTTTGAAGTAAAGTTGGGCCTGATCTCCACTAGAAACCCAATGTTTGCTTCTGGTATCAGCTTGTGATAGCAGTTTATTTAGTATGTGCTGCTAATATACAGATATATAATAAATGATATTCAGTGCTCCGCATCTTTTCCATTTGAGATAGCTACTTTGAATATACCTACATAATAACTGTCTTTATACATCTACTGTACTGTATACTTCAACTTCTCAGATGCTTTGAACTTAGACAGTGTTTGCTATTGCCCATTTTATATTTAAAGCAGAAGTTTGCCCTTTTAAATGGCATATTCCAATCCAGGTGAAAGAACTGGCTTTGTGTGTGACCACAGATCAAACATTGTATTTGCCATCTTTTAGATTACTGAAAAGCCCATGCTTTATTTTTAGGCAAATAACTGTGGGCTAAAATTGACACCCTTCCTGATGATTGCATCCTCTGCTAAATCACTTTGAGAAAATCTCATGCAGTCACATAACCTGCAGGGATAGAGTGGGATCCAGAGGGGCACTGTATGCACCTACAGGAGTACTTAGCATATTATGGGTGCCTAAATCCAACACAAACAAACAAAAAAAAAAGTCCAGCTTTGACAAGTGGTATGGAGAGCACCCTGACCCAGAATATTATGTAGCCAGGTGGTTAGGGCACTGCTGAGAAATGGAAGACATAAGTTTGAATCACCTCAGGCTGAGGAGAGCCCAGAACCCTGGTCTCGCACGTCCCGGGTGAATGTTCCGACAACTAGGTAATTAGGCTGAAAATTAGATGTATCCTGTCGGTTAGATGCATTGCACTTGGCCATTCTGACTGGGTGGATGGTGATTCCTATAACCCTGAGTCAGCTGGGGCTGGACCTCAGACACATTCTCCAGTTTAGTGTTTCCTCATGGTCACTTGTGCATGGCTCCGTGCTCAGCATCTGAGTTTTCTCAATTGTCTTTTGGAGGTATCCCATGTTTCCCCATTGACTACATACGAAGCTAGACATTTAGCCTTGGTTTTTTTAGTCCCAAGGCTGGGACCTGATCCTTATTTTCAGGTATTGACAGAGGTTGATCGCGCTATACTTGTAGATGGTGTCTGGTAAAAGTATTCGGGAGGGGGAGATTTCTGGTGGGTATTCATCATGCGGTATTGGTCAATTGAATTTCTCCTTTTTGTTTTCCAGAAACCAGCAAACATTCTGGTAATGGGAGAAGGTCCTGAAAGAGGAAGAGTCAAAATAGGTAATGCTTTTCAATAATGCTTTCATTAGCTGTGCAACATATAATTAAAAATATTATTTGACATAATGTAAAGTAAAATCCATGTTATTTTTAAAGGAATCTGTATGCAACATGACAAACTGTGGACCTCTGTCAATGAGTCTTAAGAGGTTGGCAGTTTTCAAAAAAATAGTGTAGACATGTATATGAATAATAATGGCACCTGTAGGTCCATTAGATGAGATAAAATGCAGGAGCTATAAACATTTTGATTCTTCAGCACAAATCTGCAATTGACTGCCTGCACACAAATAGAAATTTCCCTATGGGCATGTTAAGGTACATGCAGCTTAACTGGCTACTTCAAGGTGACTGGTAACTTGTCCTGAGGTAAGTGAAAGGATTGAGGGCTAAGCTATTAGAGTTTTGCTTTCACCTACCACAGGATAAATCATGCACAATACCATAGGGTGAATAAATTGTCTACCCATTACCTTATTAATACCATCCAACCTAGGAATTCCTGCAACTATTATGAAACTTTTTAGCACTGGTGACAGTTGGAGGTACTGCATTTACTCACATACCACATTCACCTTTTCCCTCAAAACCAGTTCTCCAAAACTGGGGCTGTCTTAAGCAGAAAAGCTGGGGTTTTTTTGTTTGTTTGTTTGTTTGTTTTCTTTGCAGGAATAGAAGTAAGGTTGAATAGAAACATACAGAAACAGTGCTCTAATGGCTCCCAAAATGGGACTTCTCTGTCCCAGCAAGAAGGGGCAGAGTCCCATCTTAACATTTCACAGCTGCAGTAACTGTTAGCTGCAATTGAACTGGCTTAGCTGTTGCATGTGGTCTGTAGTATCATGAGGCTTATTGTATGGAAACAACAATACTATTTACTGGAGGTTATGTAAGGGCTATTTGCAGTGAAGAAGTTAGTTTTGCCAGTGCTTTTGCAAGGGTCTGGGGCCTAGTCTTGTTGCCTCACTCAGACTTGTCTCCTGGGATGCCACGCTTTCTGGACACTGTTTCCAGGAGGACTTACTCTGACACAAGTTCATCACAGGGGCACAGAAGGGAATTGGTGAGGTTTTATTCACCAAGTCGCCCCCCGGGATTACAAGAAATAATGGCCACAAGCTAGCAGAGAGCAGATTTAGACTGGACATTAGGAAGAACTCCTTCACAGTTAGAGTGGCCAAGGTCTGGAACGGGCTCCCAAGGGAGGTGGTGCTCTCCCCTACCCTGGGGGTCTTCAAGAGGAGGTTAGATAAGCATCTAGCTGGGGTCATCTAGACCCAGCACTCTTCCCTGCTTATGCAGGGGGTCGGACTCGATGATCTATTGAGCGAAGTGCATGTCCTATTTGGGGGGATGTGGTATGTGAGAAAATACAATAGTTTACTTGACTAGAAAAATGTCTTGCTTAGTATAGTCTGGCACTCTGCATTCCAAATTGCTGAATTTAACAATGTTTGACTTTATTGTGTAGGCAGTTTCTAGAAAAGTACTTTAAAATGTTTGATATTTTAAAGAACTGCAGAGAAATAATTATGTTAAATTAGTTAAAATTAGTTAAGTCAGTTTCACTATGTAGGGTGGGGTGGGCAAAGTCTGGCTTGCGGGCTAGATCTGGCTAGCAGTGGTCTCCGTTTCCCAGCCACCCCTGCCCAGGTGGCTGGGGCCGGTTTCTGTGGAGACTCCAGCAGCAGCTGCGCTGTGCTAGCATGGGGCCAGGGTTTCTGTAGAGACCGGCCCCAGCAGTGCTGGCAGGGTGCACAGCAGGGCAGGGAGCTGCTCTGGAGCTAGGCTGGGATGTTGTAGGGGTGACAATGTGATCTGGAGCCAGGACCAATCTGCAGCCTACATGCTCCAGGCAGGGGCATGCAGGTAGCGGGTTGTGGCTTTGCCCCAACTCCTTGCACGGTAACAGCATGGTCCAGAGCTGGGGCAGAGCCACAATCTACAGCCTGCATGCTCTGGGCATATAGAATAAAATATAGAATACAATCGGGGTCCAAGCAGTCCACACCTTGGAGTGTTTATTCAGAATTCACACTTTTAATTCCTTCCTCGTGTTTTTCATCATTATTAACAAGTATGTGTCTAGATAACTTCTTATCTTTAGTACTATTGTATCATTTTTGAGTTATGCAAGTTGATTGCATTCCAAATTTATCTCTGTAACAATATCCTTTAACTGGCATTCATTGCTTATGACAGAATTTAGTGGCCGATTTTTCAATCTTCTTACTTTTAAAGTCTTCTTACTCTTAGAGCTAGTCGAAGTCAGTGGGTAATGCTTTGTCAAGGCACTGACTGGTCTAACTTCTTGCCTCTTGAAATGATTTCTCCAAGTTAGTATTAAGGAAGTTTATACTGTGATAATTCTAGTCTCGTTCCATAGATAAATAGCTATCAGTCACAAGAGCTCTCGGGTGAGAAGCTTTCAAAAGCAGTTAATTCACTAAAAAGGGGAAGGGGAAAGTACATTTTAGTTTTATGGGCATAAACTTAATTGGGGCAAGAAAATTACCCTGAGCAGTTTCTGGCTTCCTGTAATCAGAGAACCGATGAAGAATTTCTTGCATTTGAAAGTTTGTCTAACATTATTCCAACTAGTTGGTCCAATAAAACCATAACTGGTCTGATAGTTGGTAAGAAATCCTTGTCTCTTGCATAATTTCCAGAGCTCATTTGGACAATAGTAGTACTGTACTACAGTTTTGTGTACTGTATTATAGTTCCATGATGAAGCCACTTAAATGGGACAAATTTATTCCAAGTGTTTAGTGATGAATTGGGGCCAGGGTTATTTGAAGAAATTCAATTAGGTATCTAGTTAACTGTGATTATGTAATGGTCAGTGTTCACTAGGTCATATTTTCCACTAATAAAGAGATAACACAATAGCAGCACTTTTCTTGTTATTTTATGATCCATTATATACAGTCAAATAAGAGTCTTAATATTCATTTTCCAGCTGACATGGGTTTTGCCAGATTGTTCAATTCACCTCTAAAACCATTAGCAGATTTGGATCCAGTCGTGGTGACATTCTGGTACAGAGCTCCAGAACTGTTACTTGGTGCCAGGCATTACACGAAGGCCATTGGTAAGTTACTACGAAGGGAAGTGGTATATCTATACATTTCCTAAATAAGCTTGAAGGTTACATAATATGATGTTGCCGTATGTTGGCCAGTGGAGCTTGCTGGGCCTTGGGTGGTCTGCAGGTCAGACGCATGGGGAGGCAGAAGACATGTCAGTGTTGGGGCAGGAACAGTGAGGACAGGATGCAAGGCTATTCTAACAGACACAGGTCTCACTGTCTGAGAATATGCAGAATTCACCTTGAAGAGCTTCAGTCACAGGAGAGTGATTTTCATTTCTGTCTGCAAGGAAATGTAATACTGTATTTACTTGAATCAAAGATGAGGTTTTATCCCCCCATTCAACATGCTGGGGTCGACGGAGACGGGGGAACAGCCCCTTGTATTGGATTTGAGTACACGCTGGAGGGGGAAGCAGCAGCTGATGCTCTGACTCTAAGGCCAGGGTCAGAGTTGGAGTCACAGTCACAGTCACAGCCCCACAAAGCCTGTATTCCCTGCTTCCTCTTACCTTCCCCTTGCAGCCCTGGCACCTGCTGGGGTCCCAGTCTAGTCAGGGAGCACAGAGCTGCTGCTTCTGTGTGGCTGGGGTGGGGCTGGAGGCAACGTGCTTCATGTTCCCTGCCCTTGCTGGATTGGGCCCCAGCAGGTGTCAGAGCTGCAAGGTGTTGGTGGAGAAAGGTAAGGGAGTAAGCAGCAAGGGGGAGGCAGTGCATGGTGGAAGCTCTGTGGGGAGGGGCAGGCAGTGGGGAGGCAAGTTGGTGGGGAGGAGGTGCCCAGGGGTACAGGCGTGTGGGGGTGGGAGGGGCAGGCATCAGGGGGTGGTACACAGGGGTAGGTGAAGGAGGGCAGGCACTGGGATGAGCAGATGGGTGGGGGTGGGTAGAGGGGGTACAAGCACTACAGGGGCAGACATGGGGTGTCCAGGCATCACGGGAGGGAGCAGGGGACAGGTGGCAAGGGGCAGGATCTTGACACTTAACTCCTCTGCTGCCTGCTCTGCTGTTGCTGCTCATCCCAGTGGGGACGGAGGGTTATGGGGGGAGAATTTAATTTCTAGACATGAAAAATGTATAACAAACTTATTAATTTTCCATATCTACAATCTAAATTTTTGGCTGTTCATCTTAAATTCAGAGTAATCTTGGATTCAGGTAAAATATGATCATTATGGGATAAAATAATGCCTTCTATCAGTTAAACTGTACAGATAATTTAACTGATTAAAATATTACTGCTGCTTTAAAAAAAAACTTGGAGCCTGTAAAAACTTTCTGTGAATATGAGAATAGATCCCAGAAGATTGTTAATCAAAAATACTACATTCTAATATGATAGAAACTTAATAAGCTCAACTGTTTTTTACTATCAAGATGTAACAAGGCAATAATGTTTTACAATATATTTGTGATAGGAACATATTTGAAGTATACAATGAATTACAAGCGAGGAAAGGACTATCAAAACTAGAAAACAGTCTACTCTAAGTTTAAATATTTTCCACAGAGTGAGATTGTGTTATCTGGTGTTCTTCAAGGTACCTTGTATTCATGCAGTAATTATTATTATCCTTTGCTTACATCCTTTACACACTGGGTATTAAACACTGAAGAAATTGTTATTACTTTCAGAACAAAGATCTCAATTATAGTCAATTTAGTCAGCTTAGTTACTTAATAATATGCTATATTATAAAATAGAGCTCAGGAGGCTTGTTAGTGAGGCCCTAAGGGACTGTGACCACAGGGAGTTCAAGAAGAGTGGTTGCTCCTCAAGGGAGCGATCCTCAATGCACAAACTAAGTCTATTCCATCTCGGAGGAAAGGCAGCAAGAGGGCACAGCAGCCCCCCTGGCTCTCCAGGGACCTAGCAGACCTTCTAAGGCTAAAAAGAAAGGCCTACAAAGGATGGAGGATGGGAGTCGCCTCCAAGGAGGATTATTCGGCACTGGTCCGGTCCTGTAGGGAGCAGACCAGGAAAGCCAAGGCTGCAACTGAACTCCAGCTAGCTTTGAGCATCAAGGACAATAAAAAGTCCTTTTTCAGATATGTGGGGAGCCGGAGGAAAAGCAGGGGCAACATTGGACACCTGCTTAACCAGATGGAGCAACTGACAACTGACGCCCAGGAAAAAGACAACCTATTAAATAGGTACTTTGCATCCCATGGGACGCCCATGCCCGCTATGGGACAGGGAAGTCCGGGTGAGGGTGATCCCCTGCCCTCCATTAATGCTGACTTTCTGAAGGAACATCGTGAGAAGCTGGATACCTTCAAGTCAGCCGGCCCTGACAATCTTCACCCCAGGGTACTCAAGGAGCTGGCGAGCATCATAGCCCAGCCTCTAGCACGGATCTTTGAAAACTCTTGGAGCTCTGGTGTAGTGCCCGAAGACTGGAAGAAGGCCAATGTGGTGCCTATCTTCAAGAAAGGGAGGAAAGTGGATCCGGCTAACTATAGGCCCATCAGCCTGACTTCTATCCCGGGGAAGATCTTAGAAAAGTTTATTAAAGAGGCCATCCTTAATGGACTGGCCGACGCCAACATCTTAAGGGATAGCCAGCACGGGTTTGTTGCGGGTAGGTCTTGCTTGACCAATCTCATTTCCTTCTACGACCAGGTGACCTATCACCTGGACAAGGGAGAAGAGATTGATGTCATATATCTTGACTTCAAAAAAGCCTTCGATCTGGTGTCCCATGATCGCCTCTGGGAGAAACTGGCCAATTGCCGCCTTGGGTCCTCCACGATCC